AATAAAATCAATGCTGGGTTCTTCTTCTCAATTTAAGCAAATCATTGTAAAGAAAACAAACTGTCCATATGAATTAAGATTTATTGACATCAGAAATTATATAGCGGGTGGAACATTAGACCAATTCACTCAAGATTTCGGAAACAATAAATCACGTGTTAAATCCTTTTTCCCTTATCAATTCATCACATGGGAGAATTACGAAGATGAATTATATAAAGTGGAACCATTCACTCAAGATTCATTTTATTCAGCATTAACTCAAGAAACAATATCCGATTCAGATTATCAAATATATCTCAATGATGCTAAAAATTTTGAGAATAGATTAGAATATTTTATTCATTATTGCAATAAAGACGTTGAAATTATGATTGACCCAATTGATAAAATTATTGAAGAAACATTTGTTTATAAAATTGACATGCTTCATAATCTTTCTTTATCATCGAATGCATCAATGATTCGTTACGCGTTAGCATATAAGAACTTCAATCCTAACGAAACATATCCAGAAGAAGAAAATGTGGAATCAAGTTTTGAATTAACAAAAAAGTATTGGAAATATAAAATTGATTCATATAAGAAACAAGATGAAAAAGCAGAAAGGGATACTAAAAACAATGTTTCAATGGATGACTATCAATACTATCACGATTTAATCCTTTCATCTAAATGCAAAATGTGTGGTAAAGCGTTTACATATGCTAATAAACCAACATTAGATAGAATCGATAATGAAAAACCACATACCAAAGAAAATTGTCAGTTAATGTGTTGTTATTGCAATGTCGTAAAATCAAATAAAGATGAAGATGTTCAACGTTTAAGAATCAATTTAAGAAATTATACATTAAAAAATAATTTACCAATGACTCTAGATTCAGTTGAAGCTTATCACATCCTCCGTAATGGAATTACTGGTGGTTTATCAAATGTTCAACATAGAGTAAATCTTAAAGGAATCACGCACATTAATAAACTTTCATATAATCCAGAAACTAAAACTGTATCAAATGAGGACACTTCCAACATTATGACTCATTTCGTTGGTGTTGACTTTAATTCATTATATCCTTCATCATTTTCATCTAATCCTCATGATTTCATTCAATATACTGACCATAAAATGTATATGCCGGGAAGATTGAATGGTGTTATCATTTGTGATACAGCAACAAAGAAAGCAAAAGCACTGGGAATAATTAAGAAGAAAAATACTTTATTCGTGGCTGAAGTAAAGGGTCACATTGATGAAAAATACATTAATGATTACATAAACTTTTTACCAATAATAAGAAACTTTGATATTATCACAGATGAAAAAACAATTGGTGTTTTATGTATAATTACATGAAATCAAACAATCTACCAGTTGACCAGAAACAGAGGAAATTAACTCAGTTAGCATCAACACACAACCAATATCAACCATTTTCTTCTTATTATCTTTGGTATCTAATAGACAGATTTCATTTTATCATTGATGACATTCAATCAATTTTAACATTTACGAAAAATACTTGTTTTAATGAATTTGCGAATGAATTTATGAACGAAAGACAAAAGGCTGAATTAGAAGGAAATAAAGGAAAAAGTTTATTTTGCAAGATTTCACTTAATGGATCATATGGTTACGATGCAATGAATACACAAAATTACGCAAAGACTAAAATAATGAATGCACAGAAGGCACGCGTTGCATGTATGTCAAATAAGTTTAAAAACATAAGAGAAATAGGAGAGGATACGTATCAAGTGATGCTTAAAGATAGATTTTATAGATGTGATACATGTTTACAAGAGGCATTCTTCACTTTAGATAACGCAAAATACTGGTATTTGGTTTTCATTTATGATTTTATGTATAAATGCATGGATGTTAATCGTTTTCATTTCATTGAAGGTGATACTGATTCATCTTATTGGGCAATCGCTGGCGACCCAAATCTTCCTAACACTCAAGCATTTCAAGCAATTGTAACCGATAAAAAATTTTATGATAAAAACATTTACAAATTCGCACCTTTTGATTTCTTCTGTTTTAATGAGAAATTTAAACCTAAATTAAAGAATAAAGCTGAAGAAAAAGCACATGAGAAGAAGTTATTGGGTTTAGCAATTGAGAAACAAGGTGATAACATGGTTGCTTTATGTCCTAAGTGTTATACTTCATTCAACGGTTCAATTGATGGAAGTGATTTTAAAAAGATTGCACAAAAAATGAAAGGAGTTAGTTTACGACAAAATAAACAATTAACACCTAAAAATTATTTGGATATAATAAATGATAAAGTGATATTTGATGGTCAGAATATTAATTTACAACTTAAAAACGGGTCAATGACTCGCTTAACAATCGGTAAGACTGCATTAACAGGAGCACACACTAAGGCTGTATGTTGTGAAAATGGATGTTGTATGCCATTTATTTAATAAAATGCCACAGAAGAGACAAAAGGAACCGTAAATAATGGTTTTGATACTATGATTCAAAGAGGCGGGCACCCTTAAAACACTTATTTTATTTTTATATAAATGAATAGCGTAGATTTAAAAAATTTAATTGATGATTTAGTACTTAATCAAAATTTTCTTAATTATTATGAATTAAAATCATATCTCCAAAAACATGATAACAATATAACGGGTGATGATATGGATTATTATTATTCGTATTATAAAAATGAAGTTTTGAAATATCATGATAAAATAATTTCTAAAATTAAAGACAAAATTAAAAATAATGAATATTCAAAGGGAAAAAGTAAATCACAACTTAAACAATTGAAAGATTTCAAAAATAAAGTATTAACAGAAGAAGATATTGATGAATTATATAAATTATATAAATTATATAATCCTGAGCCGCAAAAACCAAAGGAACAAAAACAAAAGGTGCAAAACGCCCAGGTCCTTCAGACCATAAATGAAGCACAAGCTTTAATTTATGATTCATTAGTTAAACCATATTCAGCCCGACTTTTAAATGAAGATCAACTTTTGGAATTCATCCTTCAACATAAACTCGAAGCGGGAAAGTATATCAAACCTTTATATACAGCATATTTAAAACAAATGAATAGAATACATCCAGAATTAATGAAGGGGGGAATGAAATCCAAAATCAAAGCAGATAAAATTAAACCACCTGCAACACCAAACCCTCCAACGACAGTACCTCCTCCTCCTTCAGTTAATCCTTCATCATTCACTTTATTATATCCATTTCAAACATTAAAGAAGCAAAAAGATTTTAAAAAGGATTTCAAAATATTAAATAAACCAACTGACCCAAAAATTCAACCGTTAAAGGAAAAATTTAGTCGCCCTTCATTTGCACCATATCCATATTCATACGAAATCGATCATTTAGAATATTCAAGAGGAAACGTTACTTATTTATTTGCCATTAACATTAACACCAGATATTTATATTGCATTCCGGTGAAAGGGAAAACAGAACAGGAAACAAGAAGAGCTATTCAATACTTACTAGATCATGAAAGAGTAGATAATATAAGGGGTGATGGTGATAAAGGATTTCAGGCAGCTATGGCTCATTATTTCCCACAAATTAATTTTTACTTTTCATCCTCTCCATATACGTTTCATAATAAAATAGTTGATGCGGTAATGAGAACTCTTAGAGATGCGTTAGGGGTTAATGGTCAGATATACTGGGATGGAAATCATGACTCCATCATACAGCAGTTAGTATATTATTACAATAATACATGGCATAGAACAATAAACATGAAACCGGTGGAAATGAAAAATGATATTTCAAAAGAATGGGAATATATTAGAAAGCAAATGGAAAGGTTGAATGATGTTAAACGTGAACAAATTAATTCGGGCTCATGAATTTTAAACAAGGGATAAAGTTTTGATTCATCTCGATTATGGAAAAACTGATAAATCAATGACAAAAAGAAGACGAAGATTTGACACAATAGCTGAATTTGTTAGATATATTAACGGCAATGCATTAGTTGAAGTTGAACAATAAATTAATAGAAATTCCGATTTATTTTATTACTCCATTATATTTAAATAATATTTAATTTTTTTATTTCGTAAGAAATGAGTAACAACGAAGCAGTCAAGAGTCCAGACGATGAATATAAAAAGAAACTAAACAGAATTAAATCAAAAATATGTTATTACAAAAAGAAGCCACAATGTGGTGGGGTTGAAAACGATAAAGAGAGGAAAGAAATAATCGAAAAATTAGAAACTTATCGTTCAATCCTTAAACTGAGTGAAGCAAAAATAAAAGAATTTAATAGAATAAATAAATTGATTGGAAGAGATGAATTTAATAAAGATGAATTTTTAAACTCTATCCAAATTTAATTTTTATTCCTCTTCGACAACATCTCTCTTTCCATCATTACCGCATAACCACATTTTCTCAATTTTAGTGGTTTGTTATTTTTAACATGTTCTTGCATCATTTTTATCATTTCCTCCCTTGTTATGATTCGTGGTAAATTTTGAGCTTGTGGGGTATTCATTTATGATAAAAATAAAAATTTGTTATCACTTATTTTATCGTGAATGTTTTTAGGTTATTCAATAATTAATTATTTTTGAAGAACTGAAGGTGCTACCATGTTACCATGTGCTACCAGGTCATTTAACTTCTCTGAAAAAATGTGACAACATGACATTTTGACAACAGTTCAGGAGGAAGGTAGTTATGACTTATTTTTGAAGAACTGAAGGTGCTACCATGTTACCATGTGCTACCAGGTCATTTAACTTCTCTGAAAAAGTGTGACAACATGACATTTTGACAACAGTTCAGGAGGAAGGTAGTTATGACTTATTTTTGAAGAACTGAAGGTGCTACCATGTTACCATGTGCTACCAGGTCATTTAACTTCTCTGAAAAAGTGTGACAACATGACATTTTGACAACAGTTCAGGAAATATGATGCAGCCCAAAAATAAAGTTAGTTTTAAAATTATTTTTATTTTTTATTCCTATATAAATGACAGCAACAAACAACAACAGCAACTATATCGTTTCTGATGAAAATATCATTGATTCATTAGCTGAGGAATTAGTTGTGGCAGAAACTAAAACCCTCAACGAAAGAATTGGTGAAAACAAGATTGATTTACATAACTACCTCAAACATGATGGAGGAAGAGGAAGGAAAACTGGTATGGCTTTATTAGTAAATAAAATTTCAAATTTAACGATTATAGATGTTGATATCAATAAATCATACAATGATGAACTTAAAGAAACAGTTAGAAAAGACATTTTATCAAAACTTTCGGATAAAGATGTTATCGTTAAAACCGCTTCAGGAGGTCTTCACATTTATTGCAACACTAATTTCTTCTATTCAACCTCGAACAGAATGATTAAATGTTATTCCTGCAATGATTATGATATTGATATCATGACTTCTATGGATGATTCAAAGCGTTCTTTAGTGGTTATGGCTGATTCAAGAGTTCGCAAGAATGCAACAGAACCAATCAATACATACTCATTCATTCGTGGAAGTTATGATTCAACATTAACTAGAACAGTGAATGATATATTAAATGATTTGAATATTAAGGTAAGAGTTGAACAGAAGAATGAAGAAATAAAGACTATCATGAATGAAAACAAAGATGTAAACATTGACGATAAACTAGCTCAGAGCATAGTTGATGGCATCTGTGATTTTGAAGTACATAATGACGGTGGAAACATGAATTTAGAAAAAAGAAATAACATTATTCACACTGTTTCAAGCTATTAATTCGTTACCGGATCATTTAATTAATGAAGCATACGATAACGTTTATAACTTCTGCAGTTTAACAGAAAATGCAAAAAGTAATTTTGAAAAAGCACGTAGTAGATATGCACATTTAATGACTTCTCCATTTGTTTTAGTGAAGATTCTAAAACTATATCAAAAGGAATATTATGATGAATATGTTTTACCTTTATTACGTAAGCCAAAAATAACATTTGATATCAAACTTGATGACTCGTTTTTGATAACAGATATTAGACGCAAGGCTGAAAATCATCAGTATAAAACAGTTCTGAAGTAATTGAGGATTTATCACGTGTAATCCGTTTTGTAGATTGTGGAAATAAATATTTCATTCAAAAGGACTATAATATCCACGACAAAATGAATCAAATATCATTTGTTCTTCAGTCAAACATGAAAGAGTCACTCAAAATGATTAAATTATTTAAAGAAGAAGGTAAAACCATAACAGCATGGGATGTACTACTAAATCAATTGTCTTCATTAACCGTTAAGGGTGTTTGCTTTAAATCTGATTCCCCAGATGTTTTCTCAACGTTTCAAGGTTATAAATACAACGTTCTCGAAAAACAGATTACTCAAAAATTGAGATGTTTATGAATTTCATTAAAGAAGCCATTTGTGATAATAACGATGAAGTGTATAAATACCTTCTCGGCTGGATTGCATCAATGATTCAACATCCCGGAATCAAGAATGAAACAGCAATTATTTTGAAAGGACTTCAGGGAACAGGTAAAAACAGATTTACAGACATTATTTCTGAACTTCTCGCTGGTTATTCATGTAAAAACATTACCGAAATAAGTGAGCTAACGGGTAATTTCAATTCAGTAGTTGAAAATAAAATGTTTCTTGTACTTAATGAACTCAAGAATGTGGGTGAAGACAGACTCGCAAACTTCAACGCTTTGAAATCAATTATTACGGATAATGAGATAAGAATTAATGAAAAGAATCAACCCAGAAGAACAGCTCAGAACGTTGCAAACTTCATTTTCGTAACTAACAACGTCTACCCTGTCAAATTGAAGTTGGAGACAGAAGATACGTAGTTTTAAGAGTTAATGGTAAATTCAAGGGTCAATTTGATTACTTCAAGAATTTAATGGATTCATGCACAAAGGAATTTTATGATAATTTACTGACGTATTTTATGCAATATGACCTTTCATCATTTAATGTACGAATCATACCGATGACTGAAGCCAAACAAGATTTAATTGAATTATCATCAAATCCTTTAGATGTATGGATAAATACACATTATGATGAATTGTGTGCAGGTATGACGTGTGAAAATGCTCTATTCTGCAAACCATCAGACATGAAGACAATGAAAGACAAAAACTTCAAATGAGTATTAAGGATAAATGTGATAGGAAACATAGAAGAATAGACGGTAAACAAACATGGTATTATGTTTTGAAAGAAGAAATGAAAGGATTATATAAACAGGTTGAACCAAACGATAATGAGGAATCATTTACTGATGATGAAATACCTGTAAATGAGCCGCTAAGCGGCGAGACCTGAAGGTCTAGCTTTATAAAGTATGATTGGAATTTATTTTTGCATTAATCCTGCTGTGTTGTCAAAATGTCATGTTGTCACACTTTTTCAGAGAAGTTAAATGACCTGGTAGCACATGGTAACATGGTAGCACCTTCAGTTCTTCAAAAAATTCATAACTACCTTCCTCCTGTGTTGTTGTCAAAATGTCATGTTGTCAACATGGTAACATGGTAGCACCTTCAGTTCTTCAAAAATAATTCATAACTACCTTCCTCCTGTGTTGTTGTCAAAATGTCATGTTGTCACACTTTTTCAGAGAAGTTAAATGACCTGGTAGCACATGGTAACATGGTAGCACCTTCAGTTCTTCAAAAATAATTCATAACTACCTTCCTCCTGTGTTGTTGTCAAAATGTCATGTTGTCAACATGGTAACATGGTAGCACCTTCAGTTCTTCAAAAATAATTCATAACTACCTTCCTCCTGTGTTGTTGTCAAAATGTCATGTTGTCACACTTTTTCAGAGAAGTTAAATGACCTGGTAGCACATGGTAACATGGTAGCACCTTCAGTTCTTCAAAAATAATTATTTTTGAATAACTGGGAAATAAATTTACGTCAAATATGCAATTTATAAAATCTTATGTCGACAGGCTACGTAGCACAGTGGTCTAAGGTGGTGTTATGGAGGGGTCAAGGTCTGTGGTTCGAACCGCGACAGCGCCGTATTTTCTTATTTTCTTTATTTGTCTTGTTTGTCGTGAATAAAAGTGTCATAAAAGTGCTCTATCTTCCACGGGAATAAATAAAAAATTTACTTTATTTCTTCTTTATTTCTTCTTTATTTCTTTGTTCCCGTGGAAGAAGGGTTTTGCTGTTTTTTCTCAGCCGAAATCAATGATTTTTTCATTTTTGGAATCCTTAGCGAATGAGGAATCTTTTCTCTCGTGGAAGCTTTGACCTAAAATATGCCGCTAGCGGCAAGGGCGAAGCCCATAATTTAGGTGAAGAGGTGAGATATCACCTGTTTTTTCACCTGTTTTTATGGTAGTAGTGAAATAAAATTTTGTTATCAGTTATTTTATCATCATTTTATTAAGTTCATCTTTAGTTAATAATTTGAATGGATTCGCTAATGTTCCACCTTGAGTCACAACACTTGCCCCGGCTAATTGTGAAGAACCTGGGATAAGTACTCCATGAAATGATTTCATTGGTATCATTAATTTAGAAATAGTTGGCTTAATTAATTTGGTCATTTATGATAAAAATAAAATTGCATAATTTAAATTTTTTTTCTTTCTCATTTTCTCATTTTCTCATTTTTCATTCTGTTTTGGTTTCAGCAACTTTTCAAGTTGTTGTCTTGTCAGTAACTTTAATTTTAACTTTGGATCAAATATTGGGTTTCCATCTTTATCTCTTCCAATAACACCATATGGTAGAATCTTCATTTATACTAAAATAAAAATTTAAATTATGCTGTTTGCTCTTTTGGAGCTCCTAAAGTTTGTTTCACAAACATTGAGCGTTCATTGAACTCTATACCATGCGAATACAGTCATAAATGGTGGCATGTAATCTTTACTTTGTCCCGTTGTTTGTGTATATCCTGAAACGCGATGTGTATGGTTTCCTTCTCCCTGAGTGTCACTCCAGTAACAATTTATGGCAAATTTAACATCATCTTTAACATCATATCCTTTACCTTTTGTCATTCCTGACCAATCCCAATATCTATGCTTATGCCAACCTGCTTGAGATGTGCTTAAATCTATGTAGTGACTGTGTGCAGGTAAATTTTCACCCGTAATTGTTTTACTTCCCCCTGTTTCCTTTGAAGAGTTTGCACAATACAAAAACCTGTCGACTATTTGTTCCCATGCACCAACACCAAACATTGCTTGAGGACCTCTCACATCCATAGATGTATAAATAGAACCTACTGGGTTCATTAAATCAAACATATGAGATATTATAGGATTGTCTCTTTTGAACTTAAAATATAGTGTAACTATTTCGGGTTTCTTCTGGTTTGTGTCAGAATATTTTTTATAATATAATCTTATGTTTTCAGGGTATGTAAAATCTTGACTATAATATTTATTTTTGTCATCTTCATAATAGTATACTATTCTCGTTTTTTCTATTGCATTATATCTTTTATATCTATAATAATCTAAATATAATGTTTGCTTTTTTGGGTCTACATGTGCGTCAACACCATAGTCATAATAATACGGTGCTGGAGCTACGTTAGACAATGTCATATCCGTCATTTCATAAACTCTTAAATATTTCTTTTGTTCGTCTCCATATAAGTTTAAGTAGCAGTTGTTGTCTAATGGAACTTTAACTTGTGTGCCATTATTCTTTATATAGCCTACATACATTTCATTGTTATTTTTCGGAATGAGTTTATACGTATACCATTTCTTAAGGACTGTACAAACTCCCATCTAAAATATTTGTTTTCTTCATTGACAGAAAAGTCGCCAACAATAGTTTCAATATTTTTTGTTCCAACTAAACTTTGGTATATTTCGTTAACAAATGATATATCTGCTTTCTTTGCTAACTCATCGTTAACATATTCCTTATCTGCCTTCTTTGCTAACTCATCGTTAACATATTCCTTATCTGCTTTCTTTGCTAACTCATCGTTAACATATTCCTTATCTGCTTTCTTCCCTAACTCATCGTTAACAAATGATATATCTGCTTTAAGGTCTAAACATTCTGAAACCCATCCTGTATCAGCTTTAGTTTTAAGAATCTTCGATGTCCGTTCATGATACCATTCAACCCTTTCTATAATTTCATTATCTTTTTCATTAACATATTCCTTATCTGCCTTCTTTGCTAACTCATCGTTAACATATTCCTTATCTGCCTTCTTTGCTAACTCATCGTTAACAAATGATATATCTGCTTTCTTTGCTAACTCATCGTTAACATAATTTTATCTGCTTTCTTTGCTAACTCATCGTTAACAATGATATCTGCTTTCTTTGCTAACTCATCGTTAACATATTCCTTATCTGCTTTCTTCATTATGTCATTTAGGAAACCTTTTATGAATTCCTCATTTAAATTAAATCTTCCAATCTTCAAAACTTTAGGAAATGCATTTAATGCGTAATATCTTTGTTCTTCTGGTGGAATTGATGTTATATCATCCGTTATTCCTTTAATTTTTGAATTCATAAATAAAATTTCTTTTATATTTGATATCACTGCACCACCTTTGCAAACGAATTCGAAATGGTCATTTTTCAATACTATCTCCAAATCTCCATATTTCAACATTTGCGTTTGTTCTGCCGTCTTT